TCGCACATAATTATAATATTACATTTCGAAGTTCAAATGTAAATGATTCATCGCTGTGATTGAAATGTTCTCAAGCTTTATTATCAACAGGATGTTGAAACACACCATCATGACTTTAGTTATAGGCATGCCATGTCATATATATTTAACAATTTTAGCTAACATATAAAGTCTTTAAAGTCTCAATATCAGTGGTATATAACATAAGATTTTATAAGGATTTTTTTTGTTTCATTACCAAACTTATTCCTTATATATTGAGAATGATCACATACCAAACAATAGGTCAAATCTGTTGCCTTATTATAAAACAGCATACAATTATTTTTTTGTATACATGATTTTTCTTATAACTAAGTCCAAGTTTCACCATCTTTTTTTATTTTATAGAAGTTTTCTAATTATTTATCATTCATCGATAACATATCCTTTACTATACTCATCAAACAATCAAAATATGACTCATTTATGTTAAACTTTGATATATAATTTAAAAGTTACAACATAGTAGAGAGGATTGTATGGTTTGTACAACATGACCATAATGGTTCATCTGCATCATTCAACAAAGAATAAAAGCTTGTCGCATCTGCACTTAGATTTTCCTCATCAACTCTTGCCTTACTAACATGAGAAGCTTCCACCCCAAAATCAAGATAGATAGCATCTATAACCATTCTAGGATACGAATTTTCTATTCTTACTTCACTAATTGGTTCAAAGGTATCTCTATTTATTGATAGTTCTCCTACTTCTAACTCCCCACGTGAGATCCAACTCGTATAACTAAGAGTAAATCCCATATAATAAAGGTACTTACGCATAGCATCCATTTTTTAAAACCTTTTATTCTCATATTTTGCATAAAGACACCTAATTTTCCCATTGCTTATCTATGGCTAAAAATAAACATATTTAATAAATTCCTCTACATTATCATAGAAGTTTTAACTAATGTATCCATTTACATCTAAAAGAGAATAAACCTAAGAGCGATCTTAGTTCATTTTTTCAACCCTAATTGAATCATCATAAAGTTTCAAAAAATATAACTTTTAGTATCTGAAATTGAAATATAAGCAATTAAACTCCTATAAAGTGTTCAATATTTTTATTGGTTGACCATATGAGTAATTATTACTATACTAAACAAAATTGTCTAATGATAAGATGAGATAATTATTGGTCTACTTGAACAAATAGTCCATCAATGGTACAAAAATTCATTATGTATACTACAAAATAATACCTTCACAATAATATATTTTTGGTTTCAATGACTAAAGAATACCTTAGATATTGTGCTTCTTAGTGTAATTCAAGGTGTTGCAAGACATTTTCTTTGAGTCACTTCTACGCACGGAGCTTGTTCTACATTCAAAGTCAATGGAATGAAAAACAATAAAAGTTAGTATAATGAAAATGAATAAAAACCATATTCATTATACAATATACATCCATCCTAATTTTGCATTCAAAACATATATTCACAGAGAAATTATGGAAAAGAGGAAAAAAATAGAAACATTGATGCTCCCCTCAGTGCCACATAAACGTAATTCAACAATAACACCTCTTTTTTTTTTTAAATTTGATCCACTCATTTTCATGTAGGAGATTGGATATTCAATACCGCAATCTCTTTCCATTTTACTTATATATATGTTATGTATAGATGCAATAAGTAAATTAAGCTTAATGGACCACTAACACAATTTTAACATCCATATATTATCAATGAATAAAAATGCAAAATTCTCATTACTTATAATTTGTGATTGAATTTTGTAGTTGAATCTCATTCTACACTACTCTAGTGTTGAGTAAGTAAACAAAAAAATGTTAATTTCCATTATGCCCAATATATATGTTAACATTTTATGCAAGAGTACTTGTTGTAATTAATTAAAAATTTATTAATTAATTAGAATCTTTCTCTAAAATATAAGTATTTGATTTAGCCATATGTGATTACTAAGGTCAAGACTTTAATTTAATTTAAATTAGATTAGATTAGATAGCTATGATCGTTTAGTTGATTCTTTGTTTTTTTTTTTTTCCTTAATATGAACTATAATATGTTCTTTTAATGAACAAAATTGACTGTGATTTTATAGGAAACCAAATCCAAAATATTAAATCCCTTTTGAACCAATGAAAACTCATTGTTACTTGGTTGGCTACCTTTTGATCAATCGTATAACAGAACCAAAATAGCATAAATCTACACCACTAACTTAAATGGAACTCTAAAATCACATATGGTTGCTACTATATTACAACCAAGATTTTGTTTAATTGTTGTTATCTATATGCTTAAGGAGAGTTAACAAGGGACATACTCATATCATTTTTCATTTCATTTAACAAGGGACATACCCATTCAAACAAAATAACAAAAAAGTTAAACCTTAATCCTATTTAAACAAGATAAGAAAAAAGTGGAAAAATCATATCAATTATAGATGGTGGAGAGGTGCAAACGATGGAGAGGTGCAAACGGTGGAGAGTGGTCTGGGAGAGATGCAGATGATGGAGACAAGTTGGGCAGAGGCGTGGATAGTGCAAAGAGGGAAAGAGAGAGAGAGAGAGAGAGAGAGAGAGAGAGAGAATTTTAGGATTGAATTTTGGGAAATTGAAGGTTTCATGATTCATGGATTCGAAGTTTTGATTTTTAAACAAATTTCCATCAGATTACTGATGAAATTTTTGTCTGTAAACAACCAGCTTAAAATTATTTTTCTCACAAAATTTTTTACCAATAAAAAATTTCATTGGTAATCCTTCAGTACAATAATTACTGACAATTACCTATGAAATTTTTTGTCAATGATTCTCGTGATAATTCTTGCCAAATTTGTACCTATAAAACACCGACAAAATGAAATCCATCAATAAATTCCATTAGTATTTTGTCAGTAAAATCCCATCAATGATATTATAATTTTTTGTTGTGCAATATTTAAATTATTGATAGATAAATTATATCTAACTAATTTGTAAACTATTCTATGCATGAATTTTTTTTATTCATTTACATTTGTATGTATAAAAGCAAATGAATATTATTTTCAAAGTTACGTTATCAAAATTTTCAAACTTATAACATATATATAAAAAAAAATTATAGTTGTAAAATAAAAGAAGTGACTGGTCATTGAAAAAGGCAAAAGAAAAAATATGACACTGCATTTGCCATTTCTAATATTCCCACAATTCTAATGGGTCTTTAAGTGCGTTTCATTTTTCACAAGATAATTAGCGTAATCAATTAATTAAATTTATAATGTGAGTTAAGCAACCATTCATTTTTGTAAATAAAGCACATTTTAATGATTTAATTAGAAATTGTATACTATCCAATTATAAAACAAAAAATACCATTTGATCATATTCTTTAAAAAAAAAATTTAATATCTAGTTTATCAAAAAATTCCTCTAGAATTTTACTTATTTTTTATATGTGGACCAGTCGATAAAACTTTAGCTATATGTGTATAATTGGGCATTGGATATATGATGTATGAATATTTTTGAAAAAAATATTAGGATTATAATTTCAATATTAATGGGTTATGTTTGGCCCAACTTGGTGCAAAAAATAATGCCATACTTAGCATGACATGACCCATAAAAATTAGGATCATATGTCATGCTAAGCCATATTCTTAATCTTTATAGATTATGCCAGTACAGCATACTAAAAAATAATATTGATTTAGTATGATCCATTAACATATGGATTAATATTTAAATGGGTTGTGCGGACCCAACACAAGCCATTTAATATCTCTAAATAGACTTCATATTATTTATACGAGGTTGTAGATGTTCATGGACCAGATTTGAGTCGGTTTGGGCAAAATATTTGTGCAAAAAGCAATGATTGGGTTGATCTTAGATTCAAAATGCATTGTTAAGCCCAACCCAAGTCATAGTTGGATTAGGTGGTTGCCCAGCCCATTAGTAACTTTTACAAAGTACTACAAATTGCTAATACTATCTTTCTTTTACATTTTTTTTTATATTTAATTTTCCTAATTTAACTGTTGTCTATTAATAAAAAATCTTTACAAAATAAAAAAAACTTATTATATAGTTTGTAATTTTTTTTATATGAATATTTGGTTGAATAAGAAAGTGTATATATTTATCTTCAATTTCTTAATCTAATGGTTAAGAAAACATAAAAAAAAATTGCAAAATGAAAATTCAATTTCCACAATCTTCATTCACTATATGTTTAGATTAAAAAAAAAAAAGTGTATGTATTTCTATTTTAAAAAACTTAACTTCGGCCCTCCCAATATTCATACAGTCCAAAAGCCTTAAAAAGAAAAACCCAATATGTATAAGCAGTAAAGATGTTTATGGAGTGATAGACTCGGTTGACACTTGCAAAAGTTTGTACATGATTCAACCTAACCCGTGAACAAATTTGATTAACAGACTTAAGACAAATATTGGCAAATTCAAATTGTGCAAAGCATTTTCTGATCTGCGGATATTATTAGCTAACCCATATTTGGGGGAAAATTGAATTTAGCATGACTATCTTCACCTTATTTTCCTCATGAAAACTCTTTTCAGATCTCCTTGCGTAATTTCAAGTATCCTATTCATTTTAGTGACATAATTCAGCATTATGAACCCCACCAAAATTAGGTACAAAATAGCCATTAATATGATCGAGAGTTTTATCCGATTCCAAATTAAGTTGCCTGCCTGCCTGCCTGCCTGCAATTGTAATCTCTATTTAGTTTAGCTTCTGGGTTGTCTTTTTCTTATGAAATCTATATTCTCACGTCATCAAATTAATAAAGGCACCTTGGGACATAAGAATATCTGTTCATAAGGAGAAGCAATTCATGTAAGTAACCCTTTTTTTTTTTAAATGTTTCTGTCCATATTGCTTATGAACAACAAAACTATATGAATGCAATTAAGAAACCAAAAAAAAAAAAAAAATGAAAACAGTTAAAGGAACTTTTGTTGCGAACCTATATTGTTGCGAATTTTTACTTTTCTTGAAATGCTCGTATGTGATACGCATATTAGATATTCACCCTTGACTCGAGTAACATTGGGTGGAACTCAAAAGCAAAAACTAAATACATTAACATTAAACAAGAACAAATCGAGATCTCCTCTAGAGTACTTCGGGCCTCATGTCATCCCCTTGCGAAGCACTATTATTTACATTATTATTTCTCTCATTTAGCAGATTGTTACCCTTTATCATTGCTTTCCTGATTCCTAATCGTCCTAACAAGTCCTCTGCCCAATCCCAAAGATGCAAAACAATGTATGTCCCAATCCCTCCTATCAAACCATAAGCTATGGAATATGTCAAGGGCATCAATATCAATGTCACAAATGCAGGAATGGCCTGTCTCATGTCGTCCCACTCAACCTCCACAACCGACCTCATCATCAAAACCCCAACCAGGATCAATGGCGGCCCTACTGCCCATGCTGGGATGGATGCCAATAATGGTGTAAAGAAAAATGCTAGAAAGAAATACCCTGCAACTGTCAACGCTGTTAGGCCTGTCCTTCCCCCTTCTCTAATCCCCGTCGACGATTCAATAAATGCAGTCACCGGTGATGTCCCGAGAAGTGACCCTACCACAATTGATGCAGCATCGGACATGAAAGCAAAGTATTGACCTTCAAAATCTCCATTTTCATCTGTGAAACCGGCGAAACGAGCCATTGAATACAATGTACCCGTGGTATCTAGTATGTCCACATACAAAAATGTTACCAATGCCTCCCAAAAATAACCTTTATCCATGCCTTTGAAATTCAAGGCCCCAGCCGTACTCTTAATCACATGCACATCAATAATCTTCTTGAAATACCGATAAGCTGAATTTCCAACATCCGTATTAGGAAACGCTGTTACAGCAGTGTTACGGAACCATGAAATAACTGCAACAAAAATGATACCATAAATCATGGCACCTTTAATATTTTTCACTAGGCAATAGGCAATAATCACAAAACCAACTATTCCAAGCCAAAAGGTGGGACTCTCCATTCGATGATTCATGCAAAAAATTTCACTTGACACAGTCCCGCCAGGGATCAAACCAATTGTGCCATTAGCAGCGGTAACTACCGGAGCTAAGGCTTTCCTGGAGGATCTTGGGCAGGCTGCAAGTGTAACTAAGGTTGAAGAGCTGTACCCAACAAGGCCAATACCCTGATTGTTTTGTAATCCAATAAAAGCAAGAAACAATCCGATTCCAGCAGAGGAAGAAATTCGCACAGGTTTAGGGACGAGTTTAGCAAGTTTTGCTCGTAACCCAACGGCTGAAATGAGGAGAAAAATGAGGCCCTCAATGAAGATAGCTGTTAGGGCACTTTTATAGGGCACGTTGCCCGTCCCATGGTACCCCACAACTGTGTATGCAAAGTAAGCGTTTGTGCCCATCCCTGGAGCTAAAGCTAAAGGAAGGTTGGCGAATATACCCATGATAAGACAGCCAATAAGCGAAGATGCTACGGTGGCTACAATTAGGTCCTTACGGGTCCTTTCAAGACAAGCTGCATAGCCTGGATCCACTGGGGGAAACTTGCAGGACTCGCTCGGGTTGTCACAGTCAGCGATGGTGCAGGGGCCGCCTGAGTCCGTCAGGATGCTGGCGTTCACGGCTAAGATATATGCCATGGTAAGGAAAGTTGCTGTTCCGGCTCTTAGTTCGGTGGTGAAAGTGGTTTTCCTCTCAGTGAGTTTGAATCTTTTGCCGACTTTGCAGTTGGCCACAAACGAATTTAATCGACTTGGGATTGAACGATTCTTCGGTTCTACAGGTGGAGTACCCTCCATTGAAACCCAGAAGCCAAAATCTTTGTTTCAATTCTTTGATATGGAATTTTTGGAACTTTTTTTTTCCCAATCCCACTGTATTTTAGAAAGGATTCATGGGTGAAAGATAAGGGGAAGAGCTATGAGTTTTGATTCCGTTTAGGAATCGGCTTGTTTTGAAGGGTGTCTCATAGTAGTTGTTGGTGGTGGTGGAATACTCAAGCAAATAAGTTCATCGCCTTTAACGAAGCCTAATGATGATGAAATTGGGCAAGCAATGAGAAAGATCAAAGGATAATATCGAGACAGAAACTTTGAATCATAGCATAAAAGTGGGCCAAAGGAGCCAAAGGAGGGGTCTTTGAGAGCCTCGTCTCTCAGCATGTTGTGTTATGAAACTAGCACAGTTGCTTCATAGTTTCAAACAAATTGGAGGATACGAAAAAGAGAAGTCAAATTAAACTAGTCGAATTAAATTTAAAGGGTGGAATTTTACTTTATTTTTTTATATTTTCCAATTTTTTTACATATAATTTGATTGTTATGGCATGTGGGACCATTGTAAAGGATGATTTATGGATCATATTCGGATAATAGAAGTATTGTAAAGGGGCGTCAGGCATTCATTCGCATTTCTTTTTTTTTAAAAGTGATATATATTGAGCTACAATAGGAGATAACTTTTATCACTCTTATTATAAATTTTACTCCTTTCATTTCGAGATTCGTTAACTGCAAATTTCGATAATGAAGTCTTAAATTTTAACTGTTTGAGAATTTTTTTTTTAAGTAACTATTAGTATTTTTTAAAAGGTAGTGGTAAAGTTATAAATAAACTTATAAAGCTGAAAAGATATTTTCCTCCCATTTTAAAGATGCATCTTTTTTTTTTTCTTTCCTACCAATTAATAAAGGAAGAAATATTATTTTCTTTCGTTTTCTTTTTCTTACCAAACATAATGTTTATGTTAAAACTTAAATTTAGAATCTTTGTTTCTTTAAGTAAATATTGATGAGATGTCACAATGTTGCATGCAAGTAATTAACTACATAGAATTATGTTAATTGTGTATCATAAATCCAAACACTTTCATGTGTTTCCAATAATAAGGTTTTACATGCACCAAAAAGGAGAAGAATAAATAATGAACTGTAAATGTCAAAGTAAGCACACAAAGATAAGGGACAAAAGAGACAAATTTGGGAATCGAGGGTCCCCTTTGAAATGCCTTGAAGAACTGCTTTTTTTTTATTCATTCTCATCTTATTTTATACCCAAAAGACTTGCAATGGGCTCCATATCTTTTTCTTTTCCCTAATTTTTCCCTTTTTGATCTGCATCGACCATGCCAACTATATATATAAGGGAAGGAAAGGAAGAAGTGAGTGAAGAAGTTATTGACCAAAGGTAGGGAGAAAAGAAGGAGTGGGAGGAAGAGAACAAACGAACAAGTTAATAGGAGAGAATAAGGAGGGAAAAGAAAGAATGAGATTGGAAATGTGCCAAATCAGCAAACAAAAGAGGTATGTCTATAACATGATGCCAATTTGGCACCATCCGGCCTAAGGCACATTTTTCAAACATGGAAAAATCATATATAAACCATGCATGGGTGTAATTAAATTCTTGAAAATTCATATTCTTTAATCTTTCACTTCCCTTTCATAAGCTAAGAAGGAATTTTTGGGCTAGCTGGAGGGAGTAACCACTTTTTCTCTTTCAGCCAATGTTTAAGTGCCAACTTGACCTAATTAGGGAGGGTATCATTGTTATTATATGACATGGACAGACCACCAAGAGAGATTTTCTTTTGCTTAAGTTTATTTCGTTTTTGTTTTCCCTTTTCTTTTTGTGATTTGAATGAAATTTAAACACACGTTGTTCACAATTTTTTTAATTGAATCTTTATAGGTAGGTATGTTGTGCTATCTAATGAGCAAGAAAGGTTATTCTCAAGCTACTTGAAATTGCAGGTCGAATTGTTTTATTAATTGGGCGTTTTAAAAGAAAATTAAGGAGAAAATCTTTGTAACATGCCTATTTTTTATAATTATTATCACATATATACGGATATAATTTTCGTACTATATAAAAAAAGTTTTAAAGTGTTATCACATGATTATTATGCTATATTTAAGAAAATTAATCAATTAGAATTTTTATAAATGCTATTATTAACCCATTTGTGATTTTTTTTTTTGCTAGAATTCACTTATGAATTTAAAATTTTCAGTTTTGATATATAAAATAATATAATAATTAATTATTAAGTGATAATAAACAAATCTCACTTTATTTAAATTAATTTGGATATATGTAAATATAAAAAATTGTATTTAAAATGTACTCAAATCATTAAATCAATTTGAGTCGAATTTAAATTATATTAAAATATAATATATATTTAATATAATTAATGAATAAGGTCATGTTTATATCAACTCATATTGTAACTATTAGATTCTTAATTTGACACAACATGATTAGGTTAAGTTAACAAGAAATTCCCCGGCCCTACGGGCCATTCATTCATTGCACATAGAATTTTTACGATATTGCAATGGATGCATTAATGCATGGGCTTCCTCATGTCAAATCAACGTGTGCAATTTGGCATTATTGATGGACTTGTTAAAGATGCATTTTGGTAGGACCTTTTTATGGGTGACAGAAAATATGCAACATTAATATTATATTAGAATCATGTCAGGTTTTTGTTGGGGGTTTAGTTTTTTTATATTATTTGTAAATAATAGTTTATGAAAATTAAAACTAAAAAAAAAAGGAAAAAGTCCAAGCAAATAACAAAAAAAGAAAATCAAACCAGCTAAGCGTGCCACGTTAAAAGTTTTACTTGTTCCTTTAATTTTAAAATTTATTTAGTTAAAAAATTATAAAAAAAAGAACAAAGTTTGAAATTCAAAACACCATACATGGTAATCCAAAATACATACTAACCGATAAGAAATGAATTTAAAATATAACTAGCGACACCAAAAAACGCTATAAACTTTTAAAAGATGATAACACCATAATGCATATGTGACGGGTCGAGATTTAAGCTTCAAATTCGCGTAACTTCAAGACCCGAGTATTCACTCATCCGACGTCTCAGATCAGTCTAATCGTCACAGTTCACACCCTTGTGAGGCATTGTTCGCTCTGGTTGCCTTGACTTCACAGTTTTATCCTACAAAAGATGCCTCATAAAGAAAATGTGGTGTGAACCCTTTTATACCCCAGTGACCCTCCTATTATGTTCGATGTGAGATTTAGGACTCTTCCTTAGGTCCGTGACATTCTCTCCCACCCAACCTCGTGACTCCCTCGTCACGGAGGCTAGTTACCCTGCCTACCTCCCTTGAGGTGCTTGGCGTGGATCGAACGGTTTAGGGTTAGCCTGATACCACTTGTCACGGGTCGAAACTTAAGCTCCAAACCCGCGCGGCTCTGGGACCCGGGCATCCACTCATCTGACGTCCCAGATCAACCTAACCGTCACGATTCACACCCTTGTGAGGTATTGTCCGTTCTGGCCCCCTTGGCCTCATGATTTTGTCCTACAAAAGGCGCCTCACAAGGAAAATGTGGTGTAAATCCTTTTATACCCCAGTGACCCTCCTATTATGTTCGATGTGAGATTCATGACTCTTTCTTAGGTCCGTGACACATACATATTAATAAGCTTGAATATTAAGATATAATTGTATGAATGTAATATTTTTATTAAGTTGATCTCTTAAAATAAGGTATTATTGTAATGATTTTGAAAATCGTAAGATGAATTTAAAAAAAATAAAGTCGTCACTTATCTATTTTGGTTAGGTGTGACTAGTCACTCATTAAAAATTTATTTTTTTAATAAAAATTTAAAATTAATTAAAATTTATTAAAAAGATAATTTTAAAATCTGCGAAACAATTTAAGTTTAAGAATCGATTACATGTGATAAAAGATTAACAACCTTATAGTACTTATTTTAAAAATAGTATCTATCAATTATGTGTTATCCTTTGAATTTAAATGAAAATGACCTCGGATTGAGTATTTAAAGATAATTTCTTTGACTTTATTTATTTGTAATAATTTTATTTTTTTAATTATTTTATTTTATTCAAGAAAAATACTAAAACTTTCTTATTGAAAGAAATCTTAAAATATCCCAATACATTGGTAACATTGAAATAATTTTTCTCATTTAGGGATTTCTTAAGCATTGCTACTTGGATTATCGTAGAATCTCATCCTTGAAAGCTTATGTTTACTTTTAAAAATCTAATAGTATATGTACAATACAAATAATAAACTATTGGTAAACATTTGTTCACTTTTTTTTATGAAAAAAATTACTTTTTTATTTATATATATTTTTTATTTATATTATTTTTATTTGATTTTTTGTATTTTTTTTAAAGAAAAAAATTTTTTTATATTGAAAATCTTTTATAAATACTCTTATACGCTAATGGCATTTTTAAAAATGTATTCTTACTTAAAGATTTAATAGGTATTACTACTTGGATTATCTTTAAATCTCATCATTGGAAAGTTTTTTAAATTATTGTTTCTCCTTAAATTTATAAAATAATACCATTATCCATAAATAAATTTATTTCCAAAAAATGTATACTTTTATAGATATTTTATATTTTTATTTCTTTTAAGAAAATTATTCAAATTAAAAAAAAAATGAAAATCTTTGTATTGAAAAAAATTTCTAAATATTTTAATACTTTAGTAATTTTTAAAATTGTTTCTCACTTAAGGAATTTTTTAGAATCACTACTTAAACTTATTGGAATCTTATCATTGGAAATATTTTCATTTACTTATTAGACTTTCACTATACTAACATAATTGCCCACAAATAAATTTACTTCTTAGAACATATGCCTTTTATTTATTGATTCCTCTATAATTTTTAAATTATTAATTTATATTAATAAGCATTAAACCAAATAAATGTAAAACATAATTAAATAAAGGAACATAGCCAACTAAATTTTTAACTTAAGCCCAAAATCTTTCGAATAACGAAGTCCAAATTTGCAACCCAAAATGAGCCCACGTAGATTGGGCTCCCCTAGGTCATGACCTAGATCAATAATGCTGGAGTGGTGTGAGTTGGTCTCTAGATTGGGTCAGGCTTGACCTATCTAGTTCCTTCCTTTTTTTTTCAAGTTATAAAACCTTAATTTTTTTAATTTTATTTTTTCTCATTCTAAAAAAATTCTCTTTAAAGAAAAAAAATCAGAAAAAAACTCTTCATAAACCCATTTTCAAGCACTCTTGCGCCATCGGCCCCACCATTTTTCATCGCTGATGCCATCATTGGCTGATGCTTTTTTTACTCCAAAATTTACTCGAAAACTCTTTATGCTCATCTCTTTTCATTTTTGACCCTATTTTTGCTTGAAATCTAACCTAAACTCCTAGATTTAAAATTCAAGTTCAAAGCTTTAAACCTCTAAAAACTCCTCTCCCATTATCTGATTTGGTCAAGATCGAGATGTGTTTTTCTCATCCCCTATATCTACCTTTTCACTATTGTAATTAGCCAAAAATCTCTCCACTATCGTCGGCCC